GTAGTAAAGTATCTTAACCCTTTGAGGGTCGACAGGTTCTCTCAGAGACTCGTTCTCAGGGTCGGCCAAATTTCAAAAAAAAAAAAAAAAAAAAAAAATTCTTATGAAAAAAATTTTTTTTTCTTTAAATATTATAGGCTAAACAAAAAATTTTTAACATCAATACTTACCGAGATATGGAGGTGTGAAGTTGATGAAAAAGGGGGACAATGTGGCAACATCGCCGACTGCCGTCTCCCGGTATTCTTTTATTTACTTTCTTATGTACTAATTTCTATTTTTTTTTAATTTTTCTTTTTCCAAGTAACTTTTATGGCCTGTGAGACCAATATGATCAGTATTTTGTAAGTTTTTTCTTTTTCAGTACTACACAATAAGGGCGTAAACACTGTTGTCATTGTTTTGTTTATAAAAAATATTTACACAAACGATATGAAATGTTGTTTATTACTATTTTTCTGTATTTTATATACACATATACAGTCACAGGGAATGTTTCTAGAGGTTCTGCAGCCTGTGGAAGTCTTTCAAACATGGTGTCATGCACAGTGGTGTTTTACATTCCTCACACATAAAACGAGTGTCTCTGCGTTGTTGTGGGCGTTTCCTTGTATGTGCACAGACGTAACACCTCTTCTGAGCCTTTTTCTTGAAAGCAGTAGCAGGCAGTTTTACCAGGAAGTAATCACCATGCTTCAGACGAGAAGGTAGTTGTTGATAATTTGGTGGGCGGTCTATTGCAGGTGTTCTTCCTTGGTACTTGAATACTATTTGTCTGATGACAGACAAACAGAATTCGCCGTATTGTGGTTCGTTTCTGGTCCTCATCTTATACATATTATATGCATTGAGCATGGAAATGTCCAGAAGATGGAAAATAAGTTTTATGTACCACTTATAACTCTTGTGAAGACAATCATCAAACCCAATGTGCATGTCACATTTGCCCACTGAATGCATATTGAAGGTGTAATCAATCACAGCTGCAGGTTTTAGAATGGGTTCATTGCTCTCTCTATGGTGCCTGCCAGTGTCTGCCATTTCATTAGGGTGAACTGATGACAGCAGTGTGACATCTCGTTTGTCATGCCACCGAAATCCCATGATGTCATTGACAGCAAACGCCTGCACCTCACCTCTACGAGTGCCAGCGTCAAACCTGGGCATATGTTTCTAATTTACACGCACTGTGCAACACACATCTGTCATGTTCACTCACAAAAAATCACTGAGTGAGGGGCTTGTGTACCAGTTATCAGTATATAATATATGCCCCTTACCAAGGTATGGCTCTATCATTGTTCTAACCACATCACCAGAGATGCCCAATAACTACCTGGTACAGTATTTTGCAATGTATAACTTCCAGTGTACACAATATCCAATAGCAGACCACTGTAACAATCACAAAGCACAAACAACTTTATACCAAAGCGTTTCCTCTTGCTTGGTATGTACTGCTTGAAAGAGAGTCTTCCTTTGAACAGAATCAAAGACTCGTCAATTACAAGCTTCCTGAAGGGATAAAAATACAAAAGTGTCCCAATTCATCAAGGAGTGAGGAACTTCTTACCGCGAGGCATGGTGGACATTGTGTACTAAGATGGCGTTCCCACAATGCACCACTGGGTCCCAGATTTTTTTTCTACCACGCACACCGACCACACAGGCCCATTCTCTCATCTAGGCCTACCAGCCTTTTTCCGTGAGATTTGATGGCGCTAGAATTTATGCGTACTAGTACGTCAAAAACCCGTGCGTAAGCCGTACTAGTACGTCCGAAACCCTCAAAGGGTTAATGACAACAACATTCTTCATAGTTACCAATCAAGCTTCAGAAGCTCTTACTCAACCAACACCTCCTTAATTAATCTGATGTATTACATGAGAAATGAAATGTCGATAGGGAACCTCAAAGGAATGGTAACCTTAGACCTGCAAAAGGCCTTCAATACTGTCAACCAAAATATAATACATAAGAAACTTCAAGCTATCGGCATAGGTTCCATAGACTGGTTTAAGTCCTATCTTAACAATAGGAAACAAACTGTCAAAATCAACAAAACAGAATCATAACCCCTGCCGATAGCATGTGGAGTTCCCCAAGGTAGAATTCAGGGTCCCTTATTACAGTGGACCCGCGGTATTCGATATTAATCCATTCCTGAAAGCTCATCGAATACCGAAAATATTGAAAAGCGAATCAATTTTCCCCATAAGAAATAATGGAAATCAAATTAATCGTGCAAGACACACAAAAGTATGAAAAAAAATATTTTACCACATGAAATATTAAGTTTAATGCAATAATTACAATAACAACAATAACAATAGAATAATAACAATAGAATAATTGACACTTACCTTTAATGAAGATCTGGTGATGATTGATGGGATGGGAGGAGGGGAGAGTGTGGATGGTGTTAGTGTTTAGAAGGGGAATCCCCTTCCATTAGGACTTGAGGTGGCAAGTCCTTTTCCGGGGTTACTTCCCTTCTTTTAATGCCACTAGGACCAGCTTGAGTCACTGGACCTCTGCCGCACAACAAATCTGTCTATAGAGCTCTGTACCACCCGTTCCTTTACGATTTTTCTAAAATGGGCCACAACATTGTCATTGTAATAGTCACCAGCACGGCTTGCAATAGTAGCTATGTTAGGGTGATTTTCATCCATAAAGGCTTGCAGTTCAACCCACTGTGCACACATTTCCTTAATTTTTGAAGTAGGCACAATGGATTCCACAACTGGCATTGGCTTCTCAGGGTTAGCCCCAAACTCTTCAAAATCTTTCTTAATTTCCATACTAATTCTCACCCTTTTTAACCACAGGGTTGGCACTAGAAGCTTTCTTGGGGCCTATGGTGACTTATTTTGCAGAAACAAGCACCAAAAACAGCGATAATATGGAATGTACCGAATGTATCCTTAGATGCGCGCACACTGGCTGGCTTGTAAACAGTGGCACACACGGGGCAGTTCAGGCCACACGTGGGCATGTATCGTACGAATCGTATCGAATACTGGGTTTTCAATCGGATACCGAGGCAAAATTTTTGCGTTAAAATGCATCGAATACCGGATTTACCGA